AGGGGGAGGGAGGGAAGGAGGGAGGGAGGGAGGAAGGAAGGAAGGAAGGAGGAAGAGAAGAAGGAAGGAAGGAAGGAAGGAGGAAGGGGAAGATAGGAGAGGAAGAAAAGGAGGAGGAGGAAAAAAAGACGTGCTGGGGTGAATTTTAACATGGCTTTTTGGTTTTGGTATGTTTTTCCACTCCCTCTGCTGGAATCAAGAGGGGATTTTTCTCCTGTATTCACTGTGAGAACCTGGTCAGGCTCCTGGAGGTAAATCTCACAGAGACCCCCGTGCTGGGTGCCCTGGAGATTTTCACTCTGAACTGTCCACACTGAGCCTCCAGCAAGTCATCAGTTACAGCTCATGTTTGCTGTGCCAGCACTGATTACTGCAGATGTTTCTGCTTCTGTTAGCAGTGATTCTCTGCTCCACCTGTCTGTCCCTTCAGTTTGGGGAGAGGGAAAGGTGCAGCAGTCTTCATCACTCCATGTCTCTGATGGAGCTAAGAAGAGATGTTGATTTTTGCTTTTCAGCCTTTTACTCGTTGTTAGGACAAACTAGCTGTTTCCAAGTTCATTACATGCTAGACTGGAAATCTGAAGACCCAGGAGAACTTTATAGACACATAAACTTGAGGCAGACACAGGCCACTCTGCCAACATCTAACATCTTTGTTTTGGAAGCCGTCCACTGCTTTTATTTTGAATTCAGTGATCTAAAATTACAAGCCAATGTCTAAATGTTCAAATTCAAGCTTGTTTAAAAATGGGAACCTATTCCCCTGCCTCATGGGTTCCAGATCCCACCCTTGCTTTCTAGAAAGTTCTCACATGGTGATATGTCACCCCACAGGCCTTGGGCCTGAAGGTACTGCAGACAGCACTCCTCAGGAGACAGGCAAGACCATTCCTCCACCCCACCTCTGTCTTTCTTCATCCTTTCAGCTTCATAACTGCAATAAAATCTCCTATGAAATGAAGAAACAAAAACCAGAGGTGAGTGATCACTATGTGGCCATGTTTTAACCATGTTCAATGATAGAAACTTGAACAGAAAATGACTATGGCTATCATCAACTATTTGAATCAAGGTTATGGGGAAAAGGGAGCAAACTCCATGTTCACAATTCAGCTTGTGTCACTTTCTCTATTACTCCCCCCATTAGCAGTTAGATGGCCCTGCTGTGGACTCTATGGCAACCATAGTTGCCATATGTCTGTACCACAGCACTGAGAATGTTAAAATCTCTTGTAATCAATGCATAATTGAAGTAGTGCACACGTAGAGAAAGCACATAGCTTATATATATTCCCTGATAACCAAGAGCAGAATACATAGGCAAGACCAGTACCCAACTTAAGAAATAGAACCCAATGGTCCCCACAAGCCCTCCTGGTGGTCTATCTTCCTCCCCTACCACCACTCTCAAGAACAGACACTATGCTGACTTCCAACCCCACAGTTCCTGACTTTGAACTCGTTTTTGTTGTCTTTTTTATCTGCTTCCCTGATCTGTGTACAACTTGAGAAAAGGGGCTTTGTCATCTCATCTCTATGTCCTGTGGCCTGAGGAACAGACTTGGGGTCAACCCAAAACTATTTGCAGGAAGAGTGGTCATTTCCCATCTTGACTGGACACACTGGCCCAACTCTCTGGGGACACACCTTGAGAGCTTCTTGCAGAGGACATCCAAGTCACTTCTGATTGTGGATTCTGTGTCCTGTGGCTCCATGTCCTACGGACACATAGTCTAAGAGTTTGTGGCCACTCTGGCCTCACCCCATCTCCATCTCTTTCCCTCCAGAGACTTTGGCCAGCTTGCTTTGGACCTGTTAGACCAGTCCTATAAGCATGACGAGCAAATTGCCATGAAACTTCTGACCTACGAGCTAAAAAACTGGAGCAACTCCACCTGTCTCAAACTGGCCGTGGCAGCCAAACACCGGGACTTTATTGCTCACACCTGCAGCCAGATGCTGCTGACAGACATGTGGATGGGAAGGCTGCGAATGAGAAAAAACCCTGGCCTGAAGGTAGGTGTGGACCACAGTGACAGGGACCAGTGTTGAGATTTCACACCTTCGAGGATGAGCTCAGCATGCTCTGTGGGTTGTTTGATTTACAATGCTGCCACCTTTCCTCAATTTCAGTTACCCAAAGTCAATCATGGTCTGAAAATATTAATGGAGAATTCCAGAACTAAACAATTCCCTAAAGGGTTTTTTGTGTGTGTGTGCTTTTTTTAATATTTGTTTTTGGCTTTTTTGTTGTTGTTGTTGTTGTTTTATTTTGATGTGCTAGGGATGGAACCCAGGGCCTGGGGCATGCCAGGCAAGTGCTCTACCACTGAACTACATCCTCATCCCTGTTCATAAGTTTTAAATTAAACCATTCTGAGTATCGTGATGAAATCTGAATGATACCCCTCTATCCCACCTAGGAGGTGAATCACCCCTCTATCCAGTGTATCTATGTGGTGTACACTACCTGCCTGTTAGTAACTTGGTAACTGTCTTGGTTATTAGATCGATTATCACAGCATCATAGTCCTTGTGTTCAAGTAATCGTAATGTTGTTTACTAAGGGCCTTAAAGATCAAGACTGGCAATACAAAGAAGGCACCAGAACATAAATCTGAAAAGGACATATTAGCTCTGGCTCCATGTGGCAACACTCAGATTATAGAGGAAAAGCATAGAATATATGGAGTTCAGTACTATTTTTAGTTTCAGGCATCCACTGAGATCTTTCTTAGAACATATTCCCTAAGGATAAGGGGGACCACTGTATTTCTCTTAGCAATCCCATGAGGGAGATATTGGGACAATCCTAGTCTTATAGGAGATGACCTGGAAGCTTTGAAATTAAATAATTTGTCTAGGGTCTTAGCTGGTCAGCATGATCCAGACCTGATCTGAGGTGGTTTAACCCCAGGATCCCATGTAACTAGCATGGCTGACTCACAGAGCTCCCTGTCAGTCAGTGTGTTCAACTGGAACCCATCATGACTATGTACCCTGGACAGACCACCTTCCCACCATTAAAGTGGAAACCTGATTTCTATTGCTATAGATTCCCTCATACCTTAAAATTGTGCAATATTCTTTTAATTGGTGATGTTTACAGCACATGGGAGAGAACATAAAACTGTGAAAAGGTTTGGAAAGGATGTAGTGGGGAGAAAATTGTGTGGTGAAAAAATCCTGTCTCTGCTGCTTACTACTGTTAACTACTAGATTATCTTGAGAAGAGATTCTAGTCTGCAGGTAACCTATCAATCTAATGGTAATATTAGACCTAGCTTATGGGATCACAATGAGACAAAACAATACAGGTTGAGTATCCCTTATCTGAAGTGCTTCAAACCAGAGTTTTTCCATTTTAAAAAAATTTTACAATATTCACATAGACATAATGAGGAATCTTATACATGGGAGCCAACTCTAAATATAAAATGGATGTTTCATATACACCTTATACACACATCCTGAAGGTAATTTTATTCCATATTTTAGGGTGCCTGCATTTTGACTGTGACCCACAATTCAGGTCAGGTGTAGAATTTCCACTTATAGCATCATGGCAATACTCAAAACATTTCAGATTTTGGAACATTTAGGATTTCAGATTTTCAGATTGGGGGTGCTCAGCCTGTTTTTTTTTTTATTGTGTAGAATGGTTCTGGCTAATAGAAGGCATTCTGTTTCTTAGAAATATGAATGCTAGGTCCAACTGTCTGATTCTACATCACACGTTAATATTACATTAATACAATACACATTCTACTATTACACATAACTTGGGATATTAACAGTTTTCAGAATACTGAAAATAAAGAAATCCTAAAGGTTTTACAAAAAACAGGTTTCCTACAAAATGATGAACACTGAATTAGCATGATGCTTTTGTTGATAATATTGAAACTTAGAATTCACACTGTATGCATGTGTGGAATTATCACAACAAAATACCCTCTTGTTATTAATGTATGCCAATTCCAAAATAAAATGAAAATTTTAAAAAAGAAGGTGGCAGTGGAGCAGACAATACACTGCTGGATGGGGAAACATGGGGACCCTGGAATGTTTTTATCTGGCCCAGGTAGTTAAAACACATGAGAAAATGGGGACTGAAGGATTGACTCAAGTGGTAGAGTGCCTGCCTAGTAGGCAAGAGGCCCTAAATTCAAACCCCAGTACCGCCAAGAGAGAGAGAGATTGAGAGGTAGAAATTGAGAAAGAGAGAGAGAGAGAATAACATCTACTTAAGACATGCAAAGATTCAACCAATATATTTTTGACATACCCAGTCAGAAAAATTACTTCAGCAGGTATTCCAGCCCCCCCAAAAAAAGACTCCCAAAAAATAGGTTCATTGAATGACTAAGGAATCACAAAATACGAAGGATACAGGTTAGGAAGCAAAAAGTTGTTTGTAATCCTTAACAGGAAAACAGAAGAGAAATTTAAATTCCAGGAAAAACAAAAGCTACACACAAAAGTTAAGGCTCAGTTACAATTAAAATTTAAATTTGAAATGTTTTACGTAATTGTTACAGTGTAGAAAAATGGCACAATGGTACATGACTGCAATCCTAGCACTCTCAAAGCTGAGGCAGGAGAATCAAGAATTCAAGGCTAGCCTTGTCTACCTGGGGAGACCCTGTCTCAAAAAAAAAAAAAACCCCAAAAAAGCAACAAGTTTTTCATCAAGGGTCCAGGGAATTCTTTTGTTTTCTAAGCTGGGTCCTGAAAGTCTTTCCAACTCTTCATTTCTGCATTCCCATTTGTATCAAAAATATTTCTAGATAAAATAATTTTTGTCTACTAGACATATTAGATTTTATATTTATTATTCTATTTTAATTTAAACATTTACTTGGTTGATTGTTTTTTGCTTATTTATTTGGCATTTTGGGAGATTGGTTTGTTTGATGCTAGGGATCAAACCCAGGGTCTCATCCATGCTAGGCAAGCACTCTACCAATGAGCTAAACCTGAAGTCCTATTTACTTGCTTTGAAATTTGATGTAAGAATTTTGCTGTTTTTAAAGTCAAGATTAGGGGATTCCAAGATGGCGGCTAGAGTAGGAAGCAGAAAGTGAGCCTCCTATAGTGAAATCTTGGAGAGACTCCGGAGACACACTTTGCAGGCATAATCACTGAGAAAAGGCATAACTTTGACCCCTCCACACCTCCAGCCGGCGCAGAGAATCTCCACTTCACATTAAACGGAGAAACGAGGAGGGCCCCCGGGCCGCCAGTGGCCGGCACCCACTGGGAAGACGCGGACCAGGTGAGCTTCGCAGTACCGCGGTTCTCCCACAGACAAGCCTGGGCCAGAGCAGCATAGCCCCCTGGACAGACTGACCTCCACCCAGGGAAAAAAAGAGAAACTGAGTAATAAGCAATAAGAACAATTAAGACATGCTGGAAAGAGGGTGGGGCGCCCTGAGCGCTGAAGACTGGGGGAAGGGAAGCCTTCCGGGACTGTAAATAAACGAGCCGGGCGGGCCGGAGAGCCTCTGGCGGGAGCAGGGCGCGTGCCCAGCAACCAGGAGTGGGAAAGCTTGTGAGAGGAGGGAAGACCCACTTCCCACATGAACTGTAAACAAACGTGGCGCCGGCAGGAGCAGCAACACCGCCCAGTAATCAGGAGCAGGAAAGCTTGTGAAAGTGGCAGTGGGAGGAAAACTGCACAGGAGAGGGGGGAAGACCCACCTCCCACATGAACTGTAAATAAACACGCAGGCCTGACAACGCGGGGGCAGTGTCACCTTTCCCAGTGCTTGGAAAGAGGAAAGCCTGTAGCAGAGGCTCCCGCACAGGAGAACTCTGAACAAACAAAGCCTGTGGGACCAGGTGAGTGCTAAGCTCACTCCAGAGATCTGCATAAATAACGCCGCCAGCTACAGCAGGCTGACAGCAGCAGGCAGGCAAGCCACAGTTAAAGATACCACTCTCAGAACGGTCTCCAGACTCTTTATTTCTCTTTTTCTCCCTACCTTTGATGAGAGAACAACCGAATTACACCTGCAAGCCGAAAAACTTACTGAAACTGTATTGCATTTGAACTTGGGACACTTGGTGGGGCTTTTTTTGTGTGTGTGTGTGTGTGTGTGTGTGTGTGTGTAGTTTTGTTCTACTTTATGCATCCCCTTTGATGAGACAACTACAGAACAACATCTGAGGCACCAACTCCAGGACTGGAGATTGAGACGGACACCCAAATTATTAAGACTGAAACTGCATTGCATATAAACTTGGAAGTTTTTTGTTTTTTTTAATTTTCTATTTTCCATTTTATTTTAATTCATTTTTATATATAGATATTTCTTTCATTTACTTATTTTTTATTTTTTTTATCTTTGATTTTCAATCCTCTCTCTGTCTCTCTAATGTCTGTTCAGCTTACTGTCGATTAGTACACTAACACTCCCTGTTTATACCTTTGAAACTTTCTTGTCTGAAACCTTGTTCTGCTTACTCCCTCTTGTCTGTGTATTTGTTTTCCCCTTTTCTTTAACCTCTTGCTTTCCATCTCAGCTCACCCTTCCATTCTAAATATTACCATTGTTATTATTACAAGCTAGAAAATACTTAATTGCACACAGTACAGGGACAGTAACAACACCAAAGACAATGATGGGAAGACAGAAAAAACAGGGAAACCAGTTTCCCCACAGCAAAAAATTAGTACAGGAACCAGAGGGGAATGAAGAGAACAGAAACTCAGATCCAGACTCCAACAAAATGAAGATAAACTATGCCAAAGGACCCAATGAAGCCCACAAGAATAATTTAAAAGAAGACATACTACAAGTACTCAATGAGAATTTTATAGAGATGATACTGGATATTGTCAACCAAAATGTACAGGAGACACTCAAGAAATTCCAAGACAACAAAAATAGAGAATTTGTAAAAGCAAAAGAAGAAATAAAGGAAACCATAGAAGCACTGTATAAACACCAAAGTGAAAGAGAGAACACAATGAATAAACGGATAAATGAACTCAGGACAAAAATAGACAACATTAAAGAGGAAAACTGCCAGGATATGGAAAACCTCAGAAAAAAGAACGAAACAGAACTGCAAAACAAAACAGAAGGCCAATCCAGCAGAATAGAACAAACAGAAGACAGAATCTCAGAACTTGAAGATGAAATGGTAATTAAAGGAAAAACTGAAGAACTATTAATTAAACAACTCAAGACCTGTGAAAAGAAAATGCAAGAACTCACTGACTCCATCAAAAGACCAAACTTGAGAATCATGGGCATCAAAGAAGGAGAAGAGGTGCAAGCGAAGAGAATGTGTAATATATTCAACAAAATAATAACAGAAAATTTCCCAAATCTAGAGAAAGCTATTCCCATACAGATGCAAAGGCCTCCAGAACACCAAACAGACCAGATCAAAATAGAACTACCCCACGACATATCATCATTAAAACAACAAGTTCAGAAACTAAGGAAAGAATATTGAATGCTGTAAGAGAGAAAAAACAAATAACATACAAAGGTAAACCCACCAAAATCACAGCAGACTTCTCAACAGAAACATTAAAAGCAAGAAGAGCTTGGGGTGAGATCTTCCAGGCACTGAATGAAAATAATTTCAACCCCAGGACACTCTACCCAGCAAAGCTATCATTCAAAATAGATGGAGCAATAAAAGTCTTCCATAATAAGCAGAAACTAAAGCAATATGTGACCACAAAGCCACCACTACAAAAGATTCTTCAAGGGATTCTGCACGCAGAAAGAGAATCCAAACATAACCATGAAAGGACAGGCAGCAGCAAACTATAGGAAAAGAAAAAGCAAGAAAGTAGAGAGTAACCTCAACTTAGGTACACACAATCAAACCTTAAAACAACTAAGACAACTAAATGACAGGAATCACCACATACCTATCAGTACTAATGCTTAATGTTAACAGACTTAATTCCCCCATCAAAAGGGGGGAAACTGGTTATCAGTCTGCAAAAAACTGAAACTAGATCCATGTATATCACCCTATACCAAGATTAACTCAAAATGGATCAAGGATCTTAATATCAGACCACAAACTCTAAAGTTGATACAGGAAAGAGTAGGAAATACTCTGGAATTAGTAGGTATAGGTAAGAACTTTCTCAATGGAACCCCAGCAGCACAGCAACTAAGAGATAGCATAGATAAATGGGACTTCATAAAACTAAAAAGCTTCTGCTCATCAAAAGAAATGGTCTCTAAACTGAAGAGAACACCCACAGAGTGGGAGAAAATATTTGCCAGCTACACATCAGACAAAGGACTGATAACCAGAATATATAGGGAACTTAAAAAACTAAATTCTCCCAAAAGTAATGAACCAATAAAGAAATGGGCAAGTGAACTAAACAGAACTTTCTCAAAAGAAGAAATTCAAATGGCCAGAAAACACATGAAAAAATGCTCACCATCTCTAGCAATAAAGGAAATGCAAATTAAAACCACACTAAGATTCCACCTCACCCCTGTTGGAATAGCCATCATCAGCAACACCACCAACAACAGGTGTTGGCAAGGATGCGGGGAAAAAGGAACCCTCTTACACTGTTGGTGGGAATGTAGACTAGTACAACCACTCTGGAAAAAAATTTGGAGGCTACTTAAAAAGCTAGACATCGATCTACCATTTGATCCAGTAATACCACTCCTGGGGATATACCCAAAAGACTATTACTCCAGAGGCACCTGCACACCCATGTTTATTGTGGCACTATTCACAATAGCCAAGTTATGGAAACAGACAAGATGCCCCACCACTGACGAATGGATTAAGAAAATGTGGTATCTATACACAATGGAATTTTATGCAGCCATGAAGAACGAAATGTTATCATTCGCCGGTAAATGGATGGAATTGGAGAACATCATTCTGAGTGAGGTTAGCCTGGCCCAAAAGACCAAAAATTGTATGTTCTCCCTCATATGCGGACATTAGATCAAGGGCAAACACAACAAGGGGATTGGACTTTGAGCACATGATAAAAGCGAGAGCACACAAGGGAGGGGTGAGGACAGGTAAGACACCTAAAAAATTAGCTAGCATTTGTTGCCCTTAACGCAGAGAAACTAAAGCAGATACCTTAAAAGCAACTGAGGCCAATAGGAAAAGGGGAACAGGTACTAGAGAAAAGGTTAGATCAAAAAGAATTAACCTAGAAGGTAACACCCAAGCACAGGAAATCAATGTGAGTCAATGCCCTGTATAGCTATCCTTATCTCAACCAGCAAAAACCCTTGTTCCTTCCTATTATTGCTTATACTCTCTCTACAACAAAATTAGAAATAAGGGCAAAATAGTTTCTGCTGGTATTGGGGGGGAGAGGGTGGGGGCGGAGTGGGTGGTAAGGGAGGGGGTGGGGGCAGGGGGGAATAATGAACCAAGCCTTGTATGCACATATGAATAATAAAAGAAAAAGGAAAAAAAATTAAAGTCAAGATTATACATAATGCTGCTTGCCATTTCTCTAAACATTAAATTTTTCACTATCTGTAATTCTACAAACACAAAATGAACCAATCATTAGAGCAGGGATAAACATAGTCTAGGACTCCTATTAACCAGTGATGAATATTATTAGTTTAAACCTCTAGCTATACAACCAGCCCTCCAATGTTCAAGTGTTTCACATTCTCAGATTCAACCAAACTCGAATCAAAACTATTTTTTAAAAACTAAGTCTGTACTGAACATGTTCAAACTTTTCTTCTTTTCATTATTGCCCGAACAATATGGAATATCAGGGATCCACACAGCAGTCACTTTGTGTTAGATATTACAAGTCATCCGGAGGTGACTATGTTCAAATGCTGTACCATTTAAGGGCCTGAGCACCCACAGAGTTTGGAATACACAGTAGGTCCTGGAACCAATCACCCATAGATACTGAGGAACAAGGGAAATGGGAATTTTTTCTAGAATTGGCATAGCTTAAAATTGATTTATTTTTCATCATTCATAGGTTATCATGGGGATCCTTCTTCCCCCCACCATCTTGCTTTTGGAATTTCGTACATATGATGACTTCTCATACCAAACATCCAAGGAAAATGAAGATGGCAAAGAAAAAGAAGAAGAGAACGTGGTCAGTAATGACTTTGATCCTAAGAGTAGCACTTGGCTGTCTTTTCAATTCTTATTGAAATTTCTCTCATTGTGGATTTAGAAACTGTATTAATTTGCAGTACTTTTAGAAGTATTTCTTGTTAAAGGTGGCTGTGTGGCTGCCTGCCATGTGTTGTGTTCTGATTTCCAGGATGCAAACGCAGATGCTGGCTCAAGAAAGGGGGATGAGGAAAACGAGCATAAAAAGCAGAGAAGCATCCCCATTGGAACAAAGATCTGCGAGTTTTATAATGCTCCCATTGTCAAGTTCTGGTTCTACACAGTAAGGTCTTCTCCTTAGTGTTTTCCAGTTAGCATGTTTTGAATACTGAGAGGGTGGAACCAAGGGCTTTAAAATGTATCTAAACTGGAGGCTGTGGCCCACGCCTGTCATCCTAGGTACTTGGGAGGTGGAGAACTGAGAGGATCTCAGTGTGAGGCCAGATGGGAAAACCAGCAAGACACCATCTCAACCAATAAAAGCTGGGCATGATGGTACATGCCTGTCATCCCAGCTATGCAGGAAGCATAAATAATTAGGCCAAGGTCTAAACGTGAGGCCCTATTTGAAAAATAAAAAAAGCAGAAAGTGCTGGAGTTATGGCTCAAGGGGTAGAACACCTGCCTAGCAAATGTGAGACCCTGAGTTTAAACCCCAGTACCACCACAAAAAAAGTATTTAAAATGTTCTATATTAAAACAAATCATGAAAACAAAACTAGGACTAATTGAGAGCTTTAGCTAAAATTGGATCTAGATATCTTGTCATATATTTATATGTGTGCAGGAATATGACCATCCTAGCCCCAAATACACAATTTCATAAAGCAAAACAGTCATGTTCTATTTCCTCAAGAATGATTTTTTAAATGCCTTTAGTATAACAAACTTAGGGAACTATAACTTGATTTTATTTATCTTTTTATAACGATTTAAAAATTAACAAAGATGACTACTGAATTAAACAACAAAGTCATAGATCCCATTTCTTATTAAATTGATGGGGTTATTTTTAAAATGTGGCCTGTCTCAGTCAGCTTTCCATCACTATAACAAATAAACTGAGATAGTCAATTTATAAAGAGGAAAGGTTTCTTTTGGCTCACTGTTTTGGAGGTTCTAGTACATGATTTGTTGACCTTGTTGTTTTTGGGCAAAACAGCTCACCTTGTGGGTAGGGAGGAAAAGGGAGCAAGAAGGGTCTTGGGTTCTAATATTCCCTTCAAGGGCAACCCTTCAGTGACCTAAGACCTCCCACTAAGCCCCATCTCTTAACGGTTCCACCACCTTCCAATACAACCAGCAGCTGAGCACCGAGCTTTTAACATTTTGGATCAAAACTATAGCATGGCCAAACTCAGATCATAAACTCCTGGAACAGGGAAACAAATCAAGGTCTTTCTGCTCTGAAGTATTTACCAAGCCAACCCACTTGGCAGTACAGTACCCTCTGGCCTCCTGTGGTGGCCAGGTCTCTATGGTCTGAGTATGGCTTGCTGGCAATAAGAATGATTCCATTGGTGATTGTGCAGGAGCAGGTGGTAGAACAGTGGGGCTGGGCCATGGATTGCCATGGATGGGGCAATGGATAAGGTGGGCAGGGCAGATCTCTGAGGCCAGGGGCAGCATCACTCAACTTCATGACAGCCACATCTGATGATGCAGCTGAAGCCAGTGTCCCCTACCTATTTGGGGCAGAACCAGGTGAGGGCAGGAGTGTGAGGCTCAGTTGCCACCACTAAGGGTAGCTCAGGAGGCTAATGGCTCCAGTGCAGGCTTCTCAACCTTGGGCCTCTCCTGTCCCCTCTGAATGTTCTCTCTGGACACGGGGGAGGACATCACATGTTTTATAGATCCCTGGGGATTCTGACACAGTTCAAAGTTTGAGAACTCTAGCTTTACTCCTCCAAGGTCTGTCTTGGTCTGTCTTCTGATGCTATAACAGAACACCTGAGACAGGAAGACTTATAAAGGAAAGAGATTTATTTTGGCTTGTGGTCCAAAAGTCCAGAAGTTTGGTGCTCGGCTTCCATTCATCTTCTGGTCAGGGCCTTAGAGCCATTCAACTTAAGATGCAAAGCACAAGGACAATCAGGCATGTGTGGCAGAGAGGGAGGTAACAGAGGAGTTGGCCTGCTTTATAACAACCCACTCTTGCTAAAACCAATCCATTTCCAAGAGCATTAATCCAGTCCAGCTAAAACATTAATCTATTTTTACTTTTTGGTGGTACTAGGGTTTGAACTCAGGGCCTTGCACTTGCTTAAGAGGGAGGCAAGTGCTCTCCCTCCTAAGCTATGTCCCCAGCCCTTTTTGCTTTACTTTTCAGATGGGATCTTGCACTTTTGCCTGTGGCTAGCCTTGGACTGTGGCCCTCCTACCTCTTCCTCCCAGCTAGCTGGGATTACAAGCATGAGCCACCTTGCCTGGCCCATATTAATCTATTCTTGAGAGCTCCTCCCCCATGATCTAAATACCTCCCAATAGGCCCCACCAACTCTCAACAGCATTACCTTATGGATGAAATGTCACTATGAGTTTTGACAAGGACAAACCACATCTAACTCACAGCAGTAGTGAATATGGAGATTTTTACCTGTATCTTGGTAAAACTTATACAATAGGAGGGAGTGATCTTTTTTAAAAGTACTACAAAATCAGAAATACACATTTGCTAATACCCCTCCTTCAAGACTTCAGAAAGGCCTGTGACAGTGAGGGTCCCCAAGGCTGACATTTCCACAGTTTCATGGGAAATCAACCTAGAACAGTCAGCTTCAGAGAACTTCCCTCCACTTGGTGCCCCAGCCCCAGGGCCTCGCCTCACCCCCACATCTGACTCTCCTTACCAAAAAGATTGAGAACTTTATGTGGCTATCAAGTATCATAGACTTGCCACTGGGAATCAAGGGGACTGAGGCCAACTCGACAGACCCCACATCCACATCCTGCCTTCTAATTCTCACATAGTCCCCCTGTAACAGAGAGATTCAAGAGAGAGGTATGAGAGGCAGGGAGAAGTTAGCAACATTTTCCAATTCCCCACACCAGCAAACTATTAAAAAGTTTCCCTGGATGTCCTCATTTTTTGCAACTTTATTATTTCCCCAAGTGATGACAGCACTAACAAATATATCTTCATGTAGACAACAACATTTTAGTGCTATAGTGTAAAATGCCTCCAACCTGCCTCTAAGTTCTCTCTGCACTGGTGGCGTGCAGAGAAGTGTCCTCAAAATAAGTCAGTCTGGTAGGAAGAGAAAATTCACTGTAGAAATCTGAGGGGTGGTGGTACATATCTGTAATCCCAGCTATTTGGGAAGCAGAGGCAGGAGGATCATGAGTTACAGGACAGCATGGGCAAAGTTAGCAAGACCCTATCTCGAAAACAAAGTACACCAGGATCCAGTGGCTCATGCCTATATTCCTATCTACTTACGAAGCTGAAATTGGGAGGATCACAATTCGAGGCCAGCCTGGGCAAAAACTTACTGAGACCCCATCTCAACGGTAAAAAGCTGGAAGTGGTGGCACGTGCCTGTCATCACATCTATGGCAGGAAGTATAAAATAAGGATCACAGTCCAGTCTGGCCTGGGAAAAAAGCAAGACCCTATCTCCAAAATAACCAGAGCAAAAAGGGCTGGACGCATGGCTCAAGAGGTAGAGAACCCTACCTAGCAAGTTCAAAACCCTGAGTTCAAACTCCAGTACTACTGAGGGGCATGGATTAAAAAAAACAGGAAAAACAAAGAAGGAAGGAAGGGAGGGAGGGAGGGAAGGACGGAGGGAGGGAGAGAGGAAGGAAGGAAGGAAGGAAACGCATTGTAGGAGACATGACATGTCAACATGAAAATGTTTTAAAACTAAACTCCAAGGTTATTCCCCCCAAACATAGCCAACAGCCTTTCCTTCTTGCAGATATCCTACTTGGGCTACCTTCTGCTGTTTAACTATGTCATCCTGGTGCGGATGGACGGCTGGCCCTCCCTCCAGGAGTGGATAGTCATCTCCTACATCTTGAGCCTGGCACTTGAGAAAATACGTGAGGTGATTACTCCAAAGACTTGTCCCACCCCACTGACCACTGAATTCAGCTTCAGACCTTATTGCCCAAACATTTCGTGCAGATGATAGGAGCCAGGGGACTTTTCCCTTTGAGGTGTCACTCGTTCTTCAGGTTTATTCCATTCATTTGTTTCAGATGTGAACATCTCCTTCCAACTGAATTTGAACTTGAAAATCAAAACAAAAAGCAAAATAAATGACTAATAATCAAAACAGGTTTGAACATGTGTAAAAGCTATAGCCAATGCTGCCAGCTCCTTCAGATAAACCAGTTACTACAATTGTGTACAAAGTTTGGCTCATTTTTCTGGGGCATGAAACTACAAATGGAGGGAAACAGGAGAAAACATTTTTGTTGTAACTTGGGTCTTTGGATCACATCGTGCATTTGCACTGGGAACACTTGGATTCGTATACAAGAGATTTTTGGAAGAAGGGCTCTCGGTAAGAGGGAGCGAAGAGGGAGGCCTGGGGAAGGGAAGGAGCTGAGTAAGGTGTGGTTTCAGGTGGAGTCTGTCACCAGTCTAATCCTGCAGGTGATCTGACACTGGATTGGACGCTGTGGACTCTGACCAACCTTGAGAAAAAGGAGTTTAGCTTTAAATCCACATCAGTTGTTTGGCATCCACCAAACAATTGCCCAAGGGTAAGCCTCCCAGAAGGATGCAGGTGTGGGCCTAACAGCAGCACCTGCAGCAGGTGGGGTGGCACACGCACCTGGTGAAAGGCTCCAGGGAATCTGGGCAGTGCCCAGAGCATCTGCATCTAGGAGATCTGAGGGGACAAGATTTGAAAAAGTACAGACTCTTACACATAACTTTTACATCACAGCAGTCCTATAGTTAAAATGGAAATTCAAGAAAGCGATTTCTGCAGTCATCAGAGGAAATACAGGCCAGCTGCTTTTCTTTCTAACATCATCCACAAGTGAATTCACACTATATCCACTGGTAAAAAAGAGAAAGTGTGTATTCAAGGTAAACCTGAACTTGAACTGAAAAAGCACACAGCACAATTTCCCGTCCCTTTTCCAGCTGATACTGAACTCGTATTAGTATTTTGCAATTACTACTGATTCTTTCATGGAACTGAAGAAATGACTGGTAACCTCGTTCAGGTAGAGTGAGTTTGATACTGTGAGTCTAATGAAAGCCTAAGAAATTAGGAACACTGAATTCAAAACCATACAACCCATATTCTTCTATGACTAATCTTTCTTTTCTAGTGGCGTATCATTCAATTTCTGAGGATGCTAAACCTGGGACTTCCCAAGGTGCCTCTCTAACTATTGCTAGAGCGCTCACGATCTTGCAGGGTCATGAACCCTCCAGTATGGGGGGGGCAGCCATCAGATGGTATGCATGGCTCTGTAAAACTACTGAACCCTTCTGGATTGGCTGATAGTCAGCCACCATACCACCCAGCCCTGGGATCCTGGAATCTCTCCCCTACCACCCCGCCATCTCCAGAACTAGAAGGGTATCCCCAGGTAAGGCAGCCCTCCACCTTGCTGTAGGGATTCTGCTGTGCTTGTCAGGATGGCTCTGTGTGTGTGCCCATGCATACTACTTAAAAGGATAATATTGCAAGTAGGGGAAAATCTGGTTCAGCTTTCCTTTGATTTCTCATATCTAAGTTGCAAAGGAATTTTGGCAAATCAACCTTTCCTAGCCCCACTCTACCATTTCCTTCAAATAGATTGTCCTTCTGTGGGACCACATAGGATTCATTCCTGCTCTAGAGTTTTCCTCCCGTATAAGTCTGGAATGTGATCTAACAGGCATGTGTCCAGATAATCAGAAAAAGAAATCAAAGGGTGACTACTTTAATTACAGCCAGAAGGAGATAATTTAGAAGGCATTTCCTGAGAGTTTTATGAAACTCTGACTCTAAGAATACAGAGGCTTCCATGGAATTTCCCTTTCTAGATATCTCTGTCTGAGATTAGTGTCTGGAGATCTTAAGTTGGAAAGGGACCAGATGCCCTGGAATATTCCACCAATCTTTCTTTCCAAGATTATCTAAGGAAGACAAAGCTTCCAGTCGGGGCCGTCTTGGTTTATTGTTCTTTGGGGTTTGTTTTTAGATCCTCATGTCAGAACCAGGCAAACTCAGCCAGAAAATCAAGGTTTGGCTTCAGGAGTACTGGAACATCACAGACCTTGTGGCCATCACTATGTTCATGATTGGAGCAATCCTACGCCTACAGAACCAGCCGTACATGGGCTATGGCCGAGTCATCTACTGTGTGGACATCATCCTCTGGTATATCCGTGTCTTGGATATTTTTGGTGTCAACAAGTATCTTGGCCCCTACGTGATGATGATTGGAAAGATGGTTAGTAATGACTCTCCATGAGGAACCAGAGATGTTTTGGCTGTGGTTAGACAGTAGGCCAGGTCTTGAGTGTGGCTTCCTTTTCTTTCTTTTGCAGTTGGTTTCTTCTGGGAAATATTCTTTGTTTTAAGATACACAGTTCTCTTGCATTTTGATGATTTAATAAAACTCAGTAGAAAACCATGAGCTGAAGGCCTACCATATATATATGTATACATATACCTACATACACGTATCTATCTCTCAATATATACATGGCCTGAATACACCATCTTTCTTTTTCCATACCATAGGTAAAGGATGAATAATTGCTTTCATTTTTAGTTCCTCCTGATTTATTATTGATAGCAAGAAAAAGAAAATAGACTTCTCTCTTATAAGAACTTGCTTCACCTTCCCAGGATGTAAGAGAACATCAGTTTTGTTTTGTTTTTCTATCTAATAAGAATTGAGTATAATTTGAGTATCTCAAAACATCTAGTCTAAATCTTGGTGACTGGAAATATTTTCCATATTCTTTAGTACAGGGACCTGGATTTAATGTTCTGTAAGGTTGCATCCGCTTCAGAATGTTTTACGCACAAACATGGTTGGTAAGCTCCTAACTTGTAGTAGAAGCCAGAGACTAAGGGCCCAGGGTCATTTCCTACCTGTACTCCAAACAATCTTTGGTCATGTGGTCTGGCCTGGAGTAGATACAGGTACCTCAAGTGAGTAGCAAAGACAAACCCATGGTGACATTTCCTCCGGAACAGGTCAGAGCATATGAAACTAAACATGAAACAGGCCTGATCCCAGAAGAAAGGCAATCTAAGTTTAAAGGAAGAACTCATTATGGAACTAGTGGCTTTGAGCTAAGGAATATATATGGTTTAGTTAATTCCAGGAAGGGCCCTCATTCTCAGGAATGTTCAAAATTAAAAATTATACCAGTTTAGTATCCACAGTAACCAGAGCATGGCTCATTGTAACCACTCAGCTGTTGTATAATGAGTGAATAAATATCAGTGTATACTTTCAATTCATTATCTTCTTAGGTATATCCTCCTCTTGCTCTGCCTTTTCTCTCACAAACCCCATCTCTGTACTTACTAGGGCAACATCTGTTTATGAATGGGTGTATCAGTTAGCTTTTAGTCACTATAACAAAATACAACTTATAAAAGAAAATGTTTATTTTGGCTCAAAGATTTAGAGAGTTCAAGTACATGATTGGTTGAACCTGTTGCTTTGAGTCTGTGGCAGGGGAGCACATCATGTTGGGAACACATGACAGAGAAACCCACTTACATCACAAGGCAGGAAGCAAAAAGAGAGAGGAGGGGCTGGGGTAACATAATCCTCTTAGAGGCATGCCCTCAATGAATTAAGGACCTCCCACAAAACCCCACCTCTCAAAGATTCTACCACCACCCAGTAGAACCTCCCTGGGGACCAAGTCTGTAACACATGAGCCTTGGGGGAACATTTAAGATCAAAACTATAGCAATGGACACCAATAGAAGAGAAGAGAGCAGCAAATGAAGATAGTAATGTTGTAGAATAAGATGCATAGATTTCATGGAGTAGATAAAAGCTAGTAGCCTAGAGATGGGAAGGAAAAAAAGGAGAGAGACTCTCTTCATCCTAATTAATTAAGCAATTGTAAAATCTTTGACGAGTGTAATATAATGAACCAGTGTGAACTTGGCCCCTGAGTCAAGACAGTAAGAAACATACGTTGTCCCTACTCAGATGATCGACATGCTGTATTTTGTGGTCATCATGCTGGTTGTGCTGATGAGTTTTGGAGTAGCCCGTCAAGCCATATTGCACCCTGAGGAGAAACCATCTTGGAAACTAGCCCGAAACATCTTCTACATGCCCTACTGGATGATCTACGGAGAAGTGTTTGCAGACCAGATAGACCGTAAGAATAGAATTCATAGTAAGATTCTCTTCCCTGCTTCCAAGGCAGATGATCAGTTCCAAATTAATGCCAGAATGTGTATTCATTTAGAAATAAAGTATTTTTCATACTGCTATAAGCATCAAATTATTTGATGAAGAAATAAATACATAATCTGTATTTGAGATATCAGTCATTTTTATTACTCTAAAAACTATGCACTAGAATTCCCAAAGAATCTCAGTTCCCTTGAGATGGGTCCAGTGGACAATGTATCACATAGAATGTAGTTCCCATAGCAAAATCCTAGTTTTCCTTCAACCCCAATCTCGTCCTACCCCAGAGTAAAGCTGGTAGCATTGTTCTAGCAGAATGAAATATGAGCATGACAAGGTAGCTGAGGCCTCACACCAAGGCCATCAAAGCACATTTTTCACATAGCTATCCTTTTCCTCTTCACTTACTGTTATTTTTAAATTATGTATTTGTTTCCTTTAACTGGCATATGGGTGTTAGCAGAGGAAGTGAACCATAATCCTGCATGGATTTCTAGGAACTGAATGTCCCAGATCCTCTACAGGCTGAGGTGGGCAGATCACAGTACCTCCTGTGTTATGGGGATGTGAAGCTCAAATGTTCTTTGTACCTATTTCACCAGGACAGTTAAGGATTCACCAGTGAACAAGGCACTTCAGTCTCATTTTCATGTCAGCATCAACTTTTTCCTTTGCATGTTGTACTTTTTCAGAAAACATCAGATATAATAGCTTGCTTTATTATGCTACTTGAGAATAAAAGGTTTTGAACATTCTCCTCTCATATGAAAGATGGGGTTGTCAGTTTATCTACTACTGCTAGATTAGACGTCTTTCTAGGTTTTATAACATGATTCTGAACACATCATTATTACAGGTATCCTAAAAGCAAGTAGTGGATGTGTTTGTAGCTCAGTAAACCTGAGCTTAAAAATCTAATTTGGTTTCAAAAGCACATTAACCTAGTTCAACATACATTTTTTAATGTTCCTGAACTCTAGATATAAGTTGTAATACTTTTATTGCTGGTGGGGTTTTTTAATTGGGTAATGTGAGAAGGTAAAGTGGTAAACATAAAACTATGTTGTTTTCAGTAATACCATTAAATGTAGGTTTTTAATTCTTGCTCTATTACATAATAATTTTGTATTTACTTGTGCTGAGGAGTTGTGTTGGAATATAAGGATTGGTTAATCGGTGAATTTAAATGATCATCTGCCAGTAACATCATGACTTTTTCACAGTATTTTTAATGGGTGAGCTTTTGCTGTTACTTATAGACATCTGGTAAAATAAACATTCATGAAATACATTTCCTGGAATTAATAATGGGTATAATTCTTCTAAGTGGGGCACTGTTTCCAAGAATGAATCTACAATTCCCAAGCTTGAAGTCTTTGCATTTCTTTACAGCAAAACAGTTCTTATGTTGTTAAATCATTTATTTTATGTTCTTCTTCTCAACCCCTGTCTTGTTTTCTTTCTTCCCCTCCGGTCACAACTGAAAAACAAAACTGTTGCTTTTGAATCATTTCCATAGTCTACGCCATGGAAATTAATCGTAAGTTTACATAGAATTCATGATTTTAGTTCACAAACTATTTGCTAAATAGTCTTTTCCTTAGCTGATTACTGATGTCTTTGAATAAGTCTTCTGTTTTCTGGTATCAATACTTTCTAAAACTGTAAGTAAAAAATAAGTAGACTACAAATTCAATGTTGGAATCATCCTATTTTCCCCCCTTTGGGGAATAGGCTCCTAGAATAGAGTAGCATTTCACATAAGCAGAGGAAGAAAAGATTATTCTGCAAACATGGTCCCAAAACAATTAGTTTGAGAGGGTAGTGGGGAACCCTTCTTTACATCTAAGAACAAAATGATTTTCAAATTTAATGTACATTGTAGCCAAGAAAACAACCAAAAGACAGTGTAAGCTAATGTCCAATGATCAAAAGATAGAATAACTTTATAGAATAGATAACAATGTAGGAAGACACCATGAAGATAGATTCATGGGCTGGCAGAGTGGCTCAAGTGGTACAGCACCTGCCTAATAAGCATGAGATCCCAAGTTCAAACCCCAGAATCCCAAAAAAAAAAAAAAAAGCCCAAAGAAGTAGAAGGAGATAGATTTGCCTGTTTAATCATTGAGGAATTCTATATGTGAAAACCCATAAGGGAATGGGAAATATTTACATATATGACAAGCCAAGTATGACTATCTTGGGGTACACATAGGTGGGTTTTTTTTTAACCTTTTTCTTTGTATGAGTTAATATTTTTCACTTGGAAAATACTAACACTGTAACAGATATTTGCTCTTTCCATTATACGTTAAAAAAAAGGCAAATTTTTCTTTCAGCTCCTTGTGGTGAGAACCTGTATGATGAGGAGGGCAAGCGCCTCCCCCCCTGCATCCCAGGGGCCTGGCTCACTCCTGCTCTCATGGCCTGCTACCTACTGGTAGCCAACATCCTGCTGGTCAACTTGCTGATTGCTGTTTTCAAGTACGTGTCATGGCCGATGATCATGTCGTTCTTATTTATTGCTTGTCAGATTTTTAGGTTAATCTCAAAAATCTTCCATGCTACCATGTTTCAGAGAAGCTTCACCTAGGGCTTTTAAATGGATAGAACTTTTGCAGTCTTTTTGCCTCAACCTTAATCACTTTTAATGTATTCCTAAACCATCAGTTCACATTTATTTAAATACATTTAAACTTAATCTTGGTTAGTATTTTAACATGGTAGCGTGTATGAAAATATTTTCACAGGTGGAAGTCTCCTGGGATATAAAAGAACAAATTGTCCTTTTATTCATTATCAGAGACACAAAAGCAATATTAATTTCACAGGCTGTTACAATTACTGAAACATTACATAAAATATCTTGCTAATCATTAAAGTGGCCTAAAAATGGCTTAAGTTGTTAAATCAGGTTTCTTATAAAACTTGCCCATTTGGCATGGTGTATTGAATATGTTGATAATGCTTTTAAATGTTGAAAAAAATATTTTAGTTTCTAAGATGAAAAATATGATGGAGAAAAATCCTTCATAGAAATAGAAAACTGGAGAAGTGGACAGGGCATAGGTTAGAACCTCAGTTCCAACCCCTACCTTGAGAGATGAGAAAACTAAAGTCACTGGAAATAACAGGCTTTCCTTAAAGCCCCAGTGTTAGTTAACAATGCAATCACACACTTACTTATTCCTGTTGGAGGCTAACATAACACAGAGATTATACCTATCCCACTCCAAAATAATGCCCTTGCAATCAAGTAAGTTCAATAGTCAATCAATTCAGTTACAAAAAGTAAAAGCAATCAGTTGTTGGAATTGAAAGTTTAAATGCTTAGCTGAGTGCTGAGTGCTTAGGTGAACGGCTCTTACCTTTACATATACAAAATATAATTTCCTAAACTTGACTCAGTATGGTATGGTGTGGTCTTTCAAGAAAGCAGTGCATAGCAACTTAAAACACTTAACTTGCATGTATATAAATAAAATGTCCTTGATCATTGATAATCCACATTGATCCACAAGCCAAAAGATTAGGTAATCAAGGAACTGGTGTTAACTGGCACTGCATCAAGAGGATTTCACTGGGTATTTTCATTTGAATTTGAGTAATTCTAATTGCTCTGGAAAGTCACAATAAAAAGTAATGTAACCAACCATAAAAATGCCTTCTTTTTAAAGCAACACCTTCTTTGAAGTAAAGTCAATATCTAACCAAGTGTGGAAGTTCCAGCGATATCAGTTGATCATGACATTTCACGACAGGCCTGTCCTGCCCCCACCGATGATCATTTTAAGCCACATCTACATAATCATTTTGCGTCTCAGTGGTCGGTGCAGGAGAAAAAGAGAAGGCGACCCAGAGGAACAGGATCGTGGACTGAGTATGTGCCAGCCTCTTCACTTCTATCTTTAGATAATTTCAAAAACAGGGTTCCAATTGGACACCTTCACAGGAATCTCGTTAAAATACTGAAATGTGTGGAAAACACAACACTCCAACTTCTGTGCTTTTTGGAATGCTTCTTGTTTTCTGTCAATTTTATTCTAGCTTCATTTATTTATTAATAATCAATATTGCTGAAAGCCAGCTCATGGAGGCCAGAAGTTGAGAGAATTCTCAAAAATATGTTCCCTATATGCATTCAGTGCTCCTTTAAAAATGTTTTAATGTGTTGTCTCGAAAGAAAATGAGAAACTAATGCTATAGTTGACTCTATTCATATGAAGCATGAAAAAATTTTCACATGAAAATACGTTTTCTAGAAAATACTACTCGTTCACTTTCCCAATAGATGTAATGGAGTGGAGTGGGGGGTGTTGTATCAAAAGGTGAGCGATTTTACTCCAGTAGAAGATGACAGCTGCACGTGGCAGCCTTTTGGGGGATGATAACCAATTGGAGAAGTCAGGGAACTGCCTACATGTGGTGGGAGAAGGGAGCTTGGCTACCGTGGGCCTATGACATTCCCAAAGACGCCACTAAACTGATTGTTCTTGGAGCTGTCCAGCCCTTCACGTCGCCCACACTTCTCCCTTTACACAGAGCTGTTCCTTAGCGACGAGGAGCTAAAGAAGTTGCACGAGTTCGAGGAACAGTGCGTGCAGGAGCACTTCCGGGAGAAGGAGGATGAGCAGCAGTCATCCAGCGATGAACGCATCCGTGTCACTAGTGAGAGGTGCGCCTGGTGAAGTGCTGGGGCCTAGGCATGGTGGGCTCTGCACCCTACACTAAAAGGGGAAGTCAAAGTTCATTTACCACTCACTCCGAGTTCTCCTGTCTGCTCAAGCTTACATGTTAGTGTAAAAGTTCATAGGTGATGGTTGCATATTGTATATAATAGTGAATGACAAGATTTATTGCAAATACTAGGGCCCCGCCCCCAAAGAAAAACCCTGACAGTTCTTGCCCACTTTCACCCTGTCCTCTACTGGGGACACAAAGGACTATGTTTATATCACAAAGTCCTGTATTCATGGAGAGAACAATCAGCTACAGGAAGCCATCTTTCTCCCTGCTCCTGAACATGTTGTTCCCTTGCCAAACATGGTGTTCTCCTGGGATTGACTTCCTCATCCTGCCTAAGTAGCTTGCTGCTCCTCTAAAACACCTTTCCCAACCTCACAGGGCAGAGGTAAAGGTTCCCTCCTGCCTCTGTGCTCCCATACAGTGGAATCTGGGAGGGGTGGGACAGGGACTGAGTGTCTGTCCTCTACATCTGTCTTTCAGATACTTTGACCTCCTCAATTCCCAAAAACCCCCACACCGTCCACATGATTGACATGCCTAATGAATGAATGCATGAGGGTGAGAATCAATGAACGGGTAAATGAAGCATGTCAAGGTGGTAAAGAAAGGGTGACATTTTTAGAGCTTCATAGTATCATCCCACCCACCCTAAGCCAGGAATGAGTAATGGCAAAAGATAGGTAGAGATAGTAAATCTTCACTGTCTACATTTAAAAAAAATACAGAATTTTTTAGAACTTTTATCACTTAGTAAAAGCAATTTAAGTTTGATCTCAATCATGATAATACATCATTCTAAAGAATTCAACAATGTGGGCAGAAGGATAAGCAGGAGGAGACATGCCCAAGGAGAGTCTAATTCATCCCTATATTCTTGAGTACTCAGAATTAGTTTCCTGATACACGTGCATGTGTATATTGACAAACATAAATCTGGTAGTAGAATTTCAAAAAGATATGCTCAATCCAGAGCTCTGACAATTGCAACAGAGTTCAGACTCATCGTGAAGTCTCCCTGACACATTTCCAGGCCATTGATTCTACCCAAGACCACCAGAGGGATGATGCCCTGGTCCCCTTCCCTCCTAGTTCCAGACAATTTGTAATCCAACCAAACTCAACCAGCCAAACTCAAGGGTTACCTGCACCAAATTTTGGCCTTAATAAAATACATTTTCAATGAAACTTTGAAACAATTGATATTTTAACAGTAATTGCTAAGCCTTTAAAATGTAAAAATTATTGCTTTCTAAGGTACTCAATGTAGATAATCTAAAATTTTCACTTTTTAGACATCGACTTGAATTTAATCATAGCCAGTCATTTACAATGGAAATTGTGTTTTATTTTTGCTGTGCCTCTCCCTTTTCTCCCTTCCCCTAGCATTGTTTGGATTTTTACCATTCTTGGACGAAGGCTCCAAGAATGTGGATATCAGGTCACTGCCAAATTACATTTTTCTCTTGGGGCTCTGTGTGTACGTAATAGGAATGAAAGTGTGCAGGGCAATAAAACATGCTACTTCCTGGTTCCCTTGGCTGAGATCCCCAAGAGTGATGGGAGCACATTCCTGCTCCTCCATTTCCCTTCATTGACCTTGTCTAGGCTGACTCACAGGTGAATGCCAGAGACAACAAGAGGAAGAGGTTTGGAGTAAAGATTACAGGCTTCCCTGAATCCAGGCCGGCTGAGGAGCAAGGAATAAGGTGGAAGAATGGAAAGAATATTCATTATTTTTCCTAGCTAATTCTTCAATCTTCTTTATATATTGAGTTCATTTTATTTTCCGAACCACCATTGGCCATTTGATGACTTCCCTGATCTTCTCAGTGATATCTATACCCACACCATCACATTAGGGATCTGTTTAGGAGTGTGCCAACCCTTTCCTCGCCTCCCTGATGTCTGGGTGCCTTTTCAGACCTGAGCCACCAATTCTCATGACTCAGTCTTCCTGATGTGTTCACACAGGACACTTGCACATTAGTCATGCTTCTCCATGCACAGTTTGTTGAGCATGTCAGTGTATGAGCTAAATCCATGGCTGCTTCCTGATGCTTAGAAATTATTCCGAAAACTCTAACAATTTCTTCATTTATTTTTATCATAAAATGTCAACATTTTGTAAAACCCAACGTTTAGTCCCTCACTAAGAGATCTGTGATATGATTCATTAGGAGTTAACATAGCACTGGGTTGCAACAGGGTATTTAACCCAAAGTCCTACCCAACTTGTCCACCTGGATCCCATAGAGACACAGTACTCAGTGTTCTCCTTCCAAACTTAAATATCTTCTGTGCTCCGGACCCTGCAAATGGCACCATTGGTGGCACCACCATTCAGGCAATTCAGCAAGACAGAAAATGGCAGGTCATTGTGGTATCTCACTCTTCTTCACTAACAATCATCAGGTTCAGTTTACTTCCCCATGCAGATAAATCATGGCCCGCCCACTTCTTTTAGTCTCTACCACCAGCTCGCTGCTATAAGCTTCCATCATGAGTGACCTCCATTCTTGCAGGTGCCCTAACTGAGCTTTTCATTTTTACTTCTGCTCTTGTAATCCACATTTCATTCTATAGACTCTAATTGGACCCTGTGCCTCTCAATGGCTCCCACTGCCTTCATGTCCACAGGGCTCTGCCATGTCTCCATCCTGACTCTGGACTTTCTTCTTCCTAAAACTTTCTATTCCATATCTTAGCCTTCTTTTATTTCTTCAAAGCACCATGTCCTTCCTGCCTTAGGAGCATTGCACATACTGTTCCTTTTGCCTCCCCCTTTGCTGCTCATCCTCTGGGTCTCTGCTCAAATTCCAGTTCCTTATGGAAAATTACTCTGACCACCTCACACTTCAGAGTAGATCAGGACCCTTGAGTCATAAGCTCCATGAAGGCAGACACTATGTCTGGATTTTGCCCACCATGTTTTTTCCAGAGCATAAACATATCCACATAATAGGAACAAGATTTTTGAATGAAGACTCAAAAGTTGGTCTCTTCTAATTTAAATACAAATTTCTATGCCATTCTCAATTAGTTCCCTCATGGAATATTGGGCTAAATGGTATCCGCTATAGCCCTTTGGGCACAAATGCCTCTGGCTTTGACTTCAAAATCTAAAATGGCAGACTCTGATTCCCTCAAACCTTCTGTGTTAAGTGGGATTTTGTCAGATTTGTCTATGAATCTCTACTTTCTCTTATCTTACACTTCCATTTACATAAATTTTACTTATGTCTGATAGTTCAAAGTATATAGAATACAACTCATAAATTACATATTTTACAAGACCTATGGGTCTTAGATTAGCCAAACTTAAAATAATAGATTCTGATTCCCTTCAAACCTTCTGTGTCAAGTAGTCTTTTTGTTAGATTTGTGGATCTGAATTAAGTTTTTGGAGTCCATGTAGGCTTGCTACTTCCTATTAGGAACAAGGAGCAGTTTCAAGGTGCAAAGAACTGTGCCACTCATATGCACAAGAATGATCAATACTAGCAACACCAAAACAAGGATTGGAGCAGGCAGGCATTGTCTCTTTACTCAAAGAGACAGTGACAGGCAATCAAGAACACTAACGGGATGGAAATATGTGATAGATACCTTCCTCTAGCATTTTAAATGCAGTTGGCCCTGTATCTAAGGGGTTATGGGTCTTAGAATAGCCAAACCTGTATCAGCAGATTCTGATTCCCCAAACCATCTGAGTTAGGTCTATTTGTGGAATGGGGTTAAGATCTTGGATTTCCTGTAGACTTAATGAAAAGGTAGCAAGTCTCAAAGTCACTTTGAGATCTTCTAGATATCCCCTTCCTATGTGACTGGTAATGTAGACCCTGACAATAAGACAATATGATAACTAGAAGAGGAACTAAAAGAGAGATCAATCTTAGAAAGTGGATGATTCTTCTGATACAGAGGTTATAGAAAGACAAACATACAATGATGAGAAAGACATCTGGGGAAGCTCCCAGCTGAAAGCCTTCATCTTATAAATTAATAGGGAAGGGAACAGGATTAATGTTGGAATTTTATGTGCCCATGAATGGCATTCTTGCTCCTCATCTTACTGTGAGAGCCAATTCAGAGGTAAACGTAGACACTTGACAGATAAAAATATCAGCTCTGTTACTAAGAAAAGTTTTACAAGAGGGTGTGGCTCGGCTCTTGTCAAATACACACCCAGAATTAGGCACACCCACTCAGTGACAGGCAGCACTAGCCACCACAGCCTTCCTGCTCACAGGCAGAGTCAGCCTCCTTGCTAAGCTTCCATATAACCAAGACAAAGTGAGAACCATGCTGCTTGCAGGCAGCTAACTTTCAAAGACAGAAACAAAAGCATATTTGTGATCTGGTCCCCAAATTCCATCCAGACAGCATTCCTCCTTAAGAAGAAATAAGGGGCTGGAATGAGGCCAGGAGTTACACTAATGGAAAGTCTGGGCACACAGAAAGAAAAGACTGGGAATGGGGCGGGGGAAGTACACCTACCCGATTAACATTATAGTCATAAAGACAGTCAGGAGAATTCAAGTCAAGTGAACCTACTTTTAGGGGAAATATACTAACAAAGGAGACAACCAAGGAATTGCTTGGCAGGAATAATGATGACTCAACTGAAAATAGTTTGTATTGATCATGCTGATGTGGCTCCCATGACTTTCATCAGTGACAAAGGCAGGGATGCAGGAAGTAAACATGCATGGGGCATGGAACTAGCTACTTGGGTTATCATAAAGATGCTAGTGTTTGCAAATGGCAGCATAAACATATTGCACTACCTCCAGACACCATGTACCCTTGCCAGACCATAGAATCCTAGTACTGACAGGTATAGGGTTAGATACTGACACTATTGTATTGGAAGTAAGGGAGAGAGAACCTATTGGTAAATAAGAGCTTCATCTAGTGGTCAACCTCCAG